CTTTGGGACCTTAGGAGCCATTCTTGCCCCTCACCTGGACCTGTGCAGGAAACCAACTGGGCGATACAGTTTTACTGAGGGGAGGGTTGAGGCACCCACCTAGAGGGACCAGGTGGGAACCAGAGGCCACACATTGAAATATCAATTCATTGGTCCCCAGTGAATGTACAACACAGAAGCTGAATGAACACACATCTATGGCAACTCTGTGTAGTTTCCCAGGAGCCCTACTGTTATTGATGGATACTGGGTAAGGCTATCAGAGTGAAACAAGCCCAAATCCCATTGGTAATAGAGAGTCTACTGTGCATATCTCTCCCATCCCTGATTATATTTTTGTGATAGATATCCTGCAGGACCTACAGTTAGAGGCCACTGCACATGTGCTCAGGCTGAGAATACATGCGGTAGAGGTAGTTCTGAGGGGACATGGTAAGCACCCGCCTGTAGCCTGCCAGTGCCTCAGGAGATGATTAATACCAAACAATACAAACTGTCTGGAGGGAATAAAGAAATTGGAGAAACCCTAAAAGAACTGGTGAGGGTGGGTATTATAGAGCTCACCCATATCCCTTTTAATTCCCCAGTATGGCCAGTGAAAAAGTCACATGGCTCCTAGTGTATGTCTGTGGATTACAGAGAACTGAATAAAGTCACACCCCCTCTGCATGCTGCCATTCCCTCTATTACAGCCCTCACAGATACCCTCAGTCAGGAACTAGGGACGTATCATTATGTTGTAGATCTTGCTAATGCCTCCTTTTCTATTGATATACCACAGGAAAGTCAGGAACAGTTTGCCTTCATATGGGAAGGACAACAGTGGACTTTCACCATCCTTCCACAGGGGTACCTCCACAATTCACCACCTGTCATGGACTTGTAGCCCAGGACTTGGCAGTATGGGACAAGCTGCCAACAGTGCAGCTTTACCCTTATATTGATGATGTTATGCTTACTTCTGATTCTCCTACAGATCTAGAATGTGCAACACCTAGACTGTTACAATATCTACAGGTGAAAGGATGGGCCGTGAACAGCATTTGTCAGCCAAATTCTTGGGGGTTGTCTGGTTAGGCAGAACCAAAGTTATCCCAGAAGCAGTCACAGATAAAGTCCAAGCCAACTGTGACACTGCTGCAGGAGTTTTGGGTCTTTTAGGCTACTTGACAGTGTTTATCCAGCACTTGGCACAAATTCTCAAGCCCTTATACTGTTTGGTACCAAAGGGCATCGGGTGGCACTAGGATGAGACATGTGCATCTGCTTTTACTGCTGCAAAAATGGGTGGACAAGGCCATGCAGGCCCTGTGATAGACCCATTAAAGCCCTTTGAGCTGGATGTCCATGTGACCAAAGACAGTTATGGATGGGGTTTCTGGCAGCAGCTTGAACGAACTCCCCAACCTACTGTATTCTGGTCACAACTCTAAAATGGCAAAGAGGTATGGTACACCTTAAGAGAATAACAATTGGCTGCCATGAACCAGTCCTTGCTGGCTATGGAGCCATTATCAGAACAGCCCCAATGAAAGTAATAACCACCTATCCCAGCACGGGGTGGGTATGAGATTGGACCCAAAAACCACAGAGTGGCATGGCACAGATGTCTACATTGGCCAAGTGGGCACACACCTACAGTGGCATAGCACCCTCTCTACTAGCCTCTTGAATGGAGAACTCCAATGGCCACTAAGGCCAGTGACATATACCAGCGAAAGGCAGAAATAATTTGCTTTACAGCCTTTAGTAGCAGAGAACCCTTACTGGGAAGGAAGAGCCCCTATATCTGAACATGCATGGTATACAGATGGCTCCAGCCATGGGCAGCCTCCAGATGGAGGGCCGTAACTTTCCATCCTAAGACTGAGACAATATAGATGGAAGACAGTGAGGGGAAGAGCAGCCAATGGGCTCAGTTCAGGCAGTATGACTCGTGATCACCCAGGAGCCATCCCCACGAGTTGTTTTGCACTGACAGCTGGGCTGTCTAGTGATACTTGACTCTGTGTACAACATGGTATCATGCCAACTGGTTGGTTACAGCATATCATGTGACTGGCCATTTGCTGCTGGCATCCCCAAGAAATGATGAAGCAGATGAATTGGCCCAGGTACACTGGCTAGAAGGAAAGCCTGCCTCTGCTATGGCCCAATGGTTAGTTACATCAGTGTTTGTGGCATGAGGAGCAGAAGACAATGTGGGCTATGGCCCATCAGTGGGGCCTGCCTTTAACCTTTGAAGAAGTCAGCAGAAAATGGAAGGAGTACATTGTATGCTCTAAAAGGGACTTAATACCGAGTACCACAGCAACCTGGGACAATAGCTAAGTGGGTGATACCCTTTATCAGGTGGCAAATAGACTACTATATTGGGCCTCTGCCCATATCAGAAGGGTACTGATATGCCATGACTTGTGTGGGCACAGTTACTATAATACCCACCCACAGTTCTGGTTGCTTTTCCTGCACATTGTGCAGACCAGCAAATGACCAAAAAAGGTCTAGAGCATCTCTTTGCAGCCTATGGCTGACCACAGGTAATTGCAAGAGATCAAGTTACCCACTTTACTGGACACACACTACAAGAATGGGTGTAATAATTAGAGATAAAATGGAAGTTTCATGTACCATATAGTCCTACTGGGGCAGGCATGATAGAGAGGTACAATGCTTTGTTAAAATCCAGCCTGAAATCAGATACTAATAGTCTATGGTCAGTCCACTTATGGACAGTGCTACAACGTTTGAATGAGGAGCCTCAGAAGGGGGCATTAAGGCCTATAGACATGCTAGCACACATTGCTGCCTCCCCTATACAACTGCAAATACAAACTAAGGAGGAATTGTTGAAGTTGGGGTTTGGCCATCAGAATATCTTGCTGCCAGCACCGACTACAATAAAATAAACCCATAGACTCCTGTCAGTGGACATAGCCTTGGATGTTTCAATATATGGACCAGCGATGGCTGGCCTTCCTGGAACCTTAGGGACAAGGTCTGGAGCCTGGCCTCCTGTGTATTTCTGGAATAACAGCAGAATGGCCCCCAAAGATCATGAGCAGGAAGGTAAGAGCATCTTACCAGGGAGTTTCATTATATTCTTTTTATTCTTTTTTTTTTTTATAGGAAATTTCCTGATTTTTTTTTTGGTATCATTAATCTACAATTACATGAAGGACATTATGTTTACTAGGCTCCCCACTTCACCAAGTCCCCCCTACATCCCCGTTCACAGTCACTGTCCATCAAAATAGTAAGATGCTGTAAAATCACTACCTGTCTTCTCTGTGTGGCACAGCCCTCCCCGTGCCCCCCCAACACTATACATCCTAATCATAATGCTCCCTTTCTCTTCTTCCCGCTCTTATCCCTCCCTTCCCAGTTTCATCATGTTCTTATAGCCAGTGCATGTACCTCCAGCAGCACTATACACAGACCCCTGTAACCCCCACAGAGAAAGCGGTAAAGGTATAGGTATACTAGACCCAGATGGGACCTCCTTCCTGCTACAGTCTTATCACAGGACCACTCTCTTGCATGCATCCTTACCTGATGGACAAGATATGCCTATCTTGGTGTCATTAAAACATGTATCTTATCACCCTTAAGTTTAATCTCCTCTAATGTCTTTGTGGACTGGGCACACACCCTAGCAAAAACGGCCAACACATCTGCTTGCTGGGTGTGCATGGAGCTCGCTACCACTTCTGCTACCAGTTTCCTGGGGAAAATGTGAGGCATGAACTCATCTGAGCAGACCTGGTTTGAATACAACTGGAATAACCACTTTGTGGCAATCAATCTCCTCAGGTTTGAGGACACCGTCTATCATCATAGTTCTGTTGTTATCTGTATCCTAGTATGTTGTTGTGACCTCTATTGCTATTGTGGAATCTGGTTACAATATTCTAGCTTTATCACACAGGGACCATCATGGAAGAGTGAGGGTGTATAGATTGTGAGGTGAGAATCCTAGAGGGGTGGAGTAGAGAAAATGGAAGTTCCTATGGACAGGATGCTCATCTGACCCTAATCTACATGCCCAATGTACACATGCAGGAATGTAATAATTGGCCTACTGTGTAGGCACATGCTTACATATGTGTTGGTAATGAGCCATTATTGTTTGTGTTGCTGTATAAAGACCTCCACATGTGCTGTGTGCAGGGGCAGAGGCAGATTGCAGACCTGTCAGATGTGGACATGATTCTAGCATTTGACCTGCTATATCAAGAACTGAAATTTGGTATAAGCCCTTTTACCCCCAACATTCTGCTGCTATTTGGTCTCACCAAATCCAGAGTGAACTTGCCTGGAGTTGAAACCCTTTGGTACAGTTGTGACATATAGGTAAATTTCTATTATTCTCAAGATTGCTGTTTCAAAATAACATTTCAACCAATTGATGGTAGCTAATATATTCTATATGGCTTTTAAATAGTATGAGAGCTAATGTTTGTTTCTAATTAATATAAGGAGAAAACTGTTTTAATTATCTTTTGACATACACATAATCTCTGGTATCATTCTAAGAAAAGTAAGTTTTCGTTTCATTGATCATCTAACTATCTATATGATATGTAGATTCAGTACAGCAAGACAGACTGATTATATAATGATCCCCAAATGAAAGAAAACTAAGAGCAAAGAAGCTAAGTGATTTGTTTTTTCTTGTAATTCTTACTGTCTCCTGTAAATTAATCATCATCATCAAAATTGATCAAAATGAATAAAAATTTACCAACACAAGAAATAGCAAGCACTTAAGAATAGACTCCTAGCCATAGATTTGAAACCACCTCTAAAATTTTAGGAGAACAAGTCAAAGGCAAATTAAATGAATAGTTGTTACATATGAGCATCTTGCCACACACTTCAAAATTCAAGCCAACACATGTGAAATTTATGCAACCATTTTATTTTTTTCTAAACTGTCACCCTGCTAAATGTAAGAACATCCTTCTACTGTAATACTAAGATTACTTTCAGCATCTTACCTGATCAAAAAGGTCAGTACCATCTGATCCTGCTGCTCTCATTAGTTCATCTTCTCCACCCGGATGATACTCCATGTATGGGCTGACATTATAAACAAACCCTATATCAAAGCAAGGAGAAATAATACCCTAAATGAACTTATAAACTGTACAAACTAGAAATGTAAGTTGCAATAAAGTTTTCCAAATACATCCTATTTAACAAATCATTATTCTTTTGAAGTATTAAGAATATTAAAGGTCTGAGGTCTCAACATACTTGTAAGCTAAGTTAGCTTGCCAGTTTCAGGGATCTAAGCAGAAAACATGAGACTCTGAGGTCAGAGACAAAAGACAGACTAGTATTCACATCAATAGCAGTAGGTAGACCATCAGCATTTGCATCAGTTCCCTTAACCCCAGTTCCCACAGAGCTTTGTGAAGAGGGCCAAACAATACCAGTACAATCAATGTAATGCATTACAGGAGAGAACTGAGCTTAGAAAACTGGAGTCTTTTATAATGAGCCATAAGTATGTCTGCTCTTTGTTCTGGAGGTCACAATTATCTGAAATATAATGAACAGCAAACAAACCTGGCCTTTGCTATAAAGGGAGGTACTAGCTGTACCATCCAAGGTTGTTCACTAGCAAACATCCCTGAAAGGACTGTCGAGAATAAAGATAGTCTTGCCCCTGTTTGCAGATGTGCAGATATGCAAAAGACCTATAGAGAACAGCCTCCCAATGCAAATAAATAAAACACTGTATATAATTTTTAAATGTTCTCTCTCTCTAATATTTCCACTCTATCATCCTCTACTCTCATTAGTTCATCTTAGTTCACAGATTTGAAACCACCTCTAAAATTTTAGTAGAACAAGTCCTGCTAGCCGGATCTGATGAAAAAGAAACAAGCTTTCATCCATGTGTCTGATCATCTCAGCAAGGCTGGGGAATGGTGACTGGGCTGCTTAGGCATTTTCTATGAAAGCAAGAACAATTCTTCTCTGCACTTTCCCAAACAGCAAAGATTATTGTTTGGATCTTAATAATTATCTTATCTTCCCTAAATATTTATTTCTTCTGTTCATATATTTAACTATATCTTTAACATTTAAGAAAGAGGGCACAACAAATGAGAATAGCTCAAGGAGTGCACCCTTCCAAGGACAGGAGTTGCCCCTTTTTAGTCCTTTACTTGAAAACTCTAGATAGTAGACAAATTCAGCCCTAAGTTACCTCAATAGTGCAATGAGAACAGCTGGTTTTCTTATATCCAGGACTATTCCCTCTTTACATGATGTTTGCCATTAAATAGCCTCAGATGACTTAAAAGGTTCATCCCATATAACAGTCTTGGAAGGAAAGAAAAGGTTGGATTTCAGACCCACCAGTTTATTTTTAGAAAATAACCAACCAATCCAGACTTCTTTATAATATTGCTTAAAGGTAATTTAGGCAATAAAAAGAAGTATATTCAGAAAATCTCTCTTTCGCAGACCTCCAAATAAGTCTGGAGGAAAAAAAAGCTAGTGGAGTCTCCCTCTTTTCACCACCCCCCAACACCCTTCCCCATCAACTACAGAAGGAATTTTTCCTATTGTTAAATGTTCCAAAATCCATGGACCACAAATGTCAGAGGTACTGATTAGGATTAGAGTTATTCGCAGTAGGCTTTTTAAAACAGAGACTGTCTTCCAAACAAAAGAATTCCAAATTTTCTCTATAACCAAACCTTGACTAGAGTTCTAGAGTTTCACAAGAATATGAAATCTACAACACATGACCAACTAACCTGTGATATAATTTCATGTTTCATCAACTAGCAAGAAGATAAACAGGTAGATCTAAATAGGTAGAGAAACAGATTAATACCTATCCATGATCAGCATACAAATCCTGACATGTCTCACATGTGTTCTTTGCTGCCTCCCAGCCCTTTAGATAGACCCTGACCCTCTCATGATCTTACTTTCCTTTCTGACAGACTAGAATCACTTGGGTCCTGAAGAACTTCTCATCCTCTTAAAATGGACAAAACTAGGAATGACTATAAAATCTCTCGGTATAAGGAATTAAGACTGTTAGTACCTCAGCCCCAAAAATGTTAAATTCAGCTACACTTTGGCAGTGTCAGTAATTCGCTAATTATGAGCCTTAAATCCAGCCTCAAAATGCAACTGATGAATTTCCTCTGGTCCAGATGCTGTTCTTTCCTCTCCCTTTTCTCTTCCCTTCTTTCCTTTTCAAAAGTATTTCCTAACAACTAAAACTTGGACTCCTCAATGTGTCAGAAGAAAACAAATGCAAAGAACCTAATTTTACCCTTTTCCTTCATTCTTTATTATATGCTGTTTGTATTGTACATGGCTTTTAGACAATAATCTCTCATGCACAAGCTTCTAGCCTCCCTGAGTTCTTACCACCTGGTTCTTTCAAACTAATTTTATAACATTCTAAATTTTGTAATGATACAATTAACTTCTTTCTATAGCTCTAACTGCTCAGGTGAGGCAGAATTTACACAACGGATGGCCCATGAAATATAAGTAAATAGTATTTATGGACCCAAAGGCATAATCTCAATTTATGCTAAGCTATTCATAAATTCTGCAAAACCTAAATCCTAACACTGACATTAAGAAAAATAGGGGCAGGAAGAGATTCATGAAACATCAATCCTAAATGGTGCAAAACTGGACTGTGACCAAGATTTTCTGGGCACAACCGAGCTAGTACTTTTAGATCGTTTACATCAGTGACCTTCAGTGGCAGAGGCAGATTTAGGGAGGATATCTCATCTATCTACCTACCTACCTGTCTGTCTGTCTGTCTGTCTGTCTGTCTGTCTGTCTGTCTGTCTATCCATCTCTTTATCTTTCCATCCATCCCCTCCTTTATGCTATACTTTATTTTTGTTTTGTACTTGTTTTTTAAATTCTTACCAGGAGTAGATACAAGAAAGGGGTTTACTGAGTACTGTTAAGAAGAGCAACTTAATTTCACTATATATATATATGCCAAATCAGAATGTTGTAACCCCTAAAATTATACAGTGTTATGGCAATTATATCTTAATGAAACCAAAAAACAGTTAAAAAAAGAAGAGCAACTTATTAAAATTAAAATACAACAGTTGAATTAGGAACATATACTCTAATGTTTAAATAATATTTAAATTTACTAAATGCCCTAGCAATATCCAGGGATAAAGTTTATAGCTAATTCATCCTGGCAGAGCTATAGTGCAACTGAATGCACACATTCAGAACAACAGCTACCCTGAGTTTAGACAATGTACTAGAAGGACATGTTCTAGTATTTTTACAGTAAATTACCTCTCTTCTGTTATATATTTGGAACTATGAGTTCTCAAATAACTTCTCAGAATAAAAATTACCCACTTTAAAATTACCACTTAGTGCTTTGTATTATCAGAAACTTATAGTGCCAATTCAGTCACAGAATGATAGTCTTAAGACTCAGAGAATTCTAAAGGCAATTTTTAGCTAGCTGTCATCTAGATCACATTTACAGGATCTGCAGACAGACTATCACCCTGCAGCTGCTTGAGCAGTACCACGGTCTAGAAGCTCACACACTGCTTGTTTCACAAACTTAGTTCAAGGAACAATATCATTTTTATATCTGAAAACTAATGTTGCCACATCACACGGAAAGAACTCTTCCTCTTGGCAAACACCTCCTCTAGCTTTTCATGTATACTTTTTATATTTGTTGTAAGTAAAACCCCAACTACTACTGATAAAGACTAGGCTTCTTACAATAAAATACTCAACTTCAAATTTGTGTAAGTTTATGTGTAAAAACTTAAAAATCCCACAATACATGTAAAAGAAAAGCAAATATATACCAGTTGCCTAACCTACCTAACAGTGTTACTATGAACAAGCATTACATGCAGTCCTCAACTACCTAGAAGCTAAGGCCAAGAGAGACATTAGTAACAATCATTTCATTATCTGACCTTAAGAAGTGTTAAAAAGCAACAACAAAAGGAGGCCACTAGTTCTTTAAAGAGAGAAACTCCCTTTGGGTTTTTTATGTTGATATTGTGAAAAATCATGAATCCCTATTTTGGGACATTGACAACATAACAGATACTACAATTTAACGATATGCAGAAACATTCTTCAAAGAGCATTCCTTCCATCCTCCTTCGCCCTAATTTAGGTAGCCACTGTCTCTTTAGACTTGCATATTCTGGGAATTTTATATAAATGAAATTATACAGTGTGTGGTCTTTTGTGTTTGCCTTCTTTCACTTACTACACTTTCAAGGTTCATTCAGGCTGTAGCACTTATCAGTACTTCATTCCTTTTTAGGCGGAATAATATTCCACATGTGGAGATAACACAATTTGTTTATCCATTCTTCAGTTCATGGACATTTAGGTTGTTTCTTCTTTCTGACTATTATGAAGTAATGCTGCTATGCTGCTATGAACATCCATTTACATGTTTTTGTGTGGACATATGGTTTTTATTTCTTTCAAGTATATACTGAGGAGTGAGTTTGTTGGGTCACATAGCAATCCATGTTTAACTTTTGAGGAACTGTCAGACTATTTTCCATTCTCACCAGCAATGTGAGAAGGTTCTGATTTCAAAGAGCTCTTTTTTCATCCCTACTCCAGCTCCTGAGAGAGAGGAAAAGCCTTAGAACTTGAATATAGAACTTGAATCACACCACATCTCAAATAACTGAATTCAGAACTGGGTTGTAGAATGCTCCAATTTAATCTCAACCCCATTTTGAGAGCCCAATGACATTAGATTTAAGCGACACTATACCTATTAATCTATTTCCCAAATGAGGCTCTCACTATTTTCTAGGTTAGGTAACCATACACATGAACCCCTATAGCACACTGATAAGGAGTGAACTACACGCCCATGGTTCAGGCCAGAAATCCACTAACCATTTTTTATTTTTCTTTGTTCTAGTTCATATCAGAGTCTCAGATCATGACCCAGAGATTCCTAGGAAAGCTCAAGGCTCTTTTGGTGATCCAAGGCCAAACATTATAGAAATCTGCCTTTTAAAAAAAATCTCATTCTTGAAGTCAGATTTAACAGAGGTGACATTAGAATGCAAT